AAATAAAATAAAATAAATAATAGGCTTAAAATATGCATTCTTTTGATGGTAATTCTGTTTCTAGGCTTTCATCCTAACAACATAATGAAAGACCTGTGCAAACACTTGGCTCCAAGGATATTTAACGTGGCACTGTTAAAAGAAGTGTCAAACCGGGAGCAACCTCAATTCCAGCATCGGGGAACTGGATGAGTACACTGCAGACACTCTACAGCCTAAGAAGTGCTGGAAGCGTGCTTCGAACACACGGAAAGACGTCCCCACTACCGTCTTCTGGGAAAAACAGGTGTACGTTTTTCCTACATAAATAAATCAAACCCAGGCCAGGTGCACTGGCTCATGCCTGTAATCCCAGCACTTTGGGAGGCTGAGGTAGAGGCCAGGAGTTCAGGACCAGTATGAGAAACACAGTGAAACCCTATGTTTACAAAAAATTTAAAAAGTGAGCTGGGCATTGTGCATGCCTGTAGTCCCAGCTACTTGGGAGGCGAAGGCAGGAAAATGGCTTGAGCCCAGGAGTTAGAGGCTGCAGTGAGCTATGATTGTGCCACTGCCCTCCAGCCTGGGCAACCAAACAAGACCCCATACTTTAAAAAAAGGGAACCCACTGCTTTTAAATTTAGAGGTACTTCACCTGAAAATATATTGAGTATATTACTGCAAAATTAACTAATACGCTATTCAAAAATAAGTCGATGCTATGAGAACTCCTGGTCTCTATCTATATATGCAGAGAAAAAGGTCAAAGAGCGACCATGCTATGCTCACCACAGAAATTTCTGGGACATGAACTCCTGGTGTTCTGCAACTTTTTTTGGTAATTGGTATGTTATCATGTTTGGTCAATAAATACATACTATTTTGTAATCCCAAAGAAATTATTTTAAAATATCCATCTCTAATACTCTACGAGGCTGTTTCCAGCTACATCCCAAGCTTGGAATTCTAGTGAAGTATGGACTTTGGTGTCAGGAGGTCACAGTTATGGTCCCTGGTGCTATTTTAGAGCTGGGGACACAGTGGAGACAAGGGAGAGACAGATGTTCTCAGTCTAAGTCTCTGACACGTCACTGATGGACAGAGAGGATCTGAAGGAAAAGGACTCCGGGTCTCTAAGAGAGAGTGTGGCAAAAACGCCATCCTCGACATGGGGATGAGGACAGTTTTACTCCTTGAGCGAGTGATGCTTGAGGCAGGGCAGGTCTACGCCCTGGGCCACCTCCAAATAAACCAGCATGAGGTCTGGAGAAGTTATGATGGAGCTACTCTGGACTGTAGCCCATCTCAGTTACTCAGGGTTTCTGGGCAGAAATCGTCCTCATATTGCACAGAAGAAAAGAAGGAAGAATTGCTCTATCGTTCCCCTCTGATCTTTCTTCAAGCAAATGGTAAATCATCCCCTCTTGGGAGTTCCTCCTCAGGCTTCTGTTACGGAGTTAGGTTCTCACCATCCTACAGGAGGACTCTAAGGAAAGGTAGGAGAAGAGAGAACGGAGACTTTGGCCCTCTCTCTGAAGTGGTCCAAATCCTCAGTTGTGAATGGCCTCAAGGGGAGCCAGGATTCCACTCCCTGCCTGAAGGGTCACTGTCCTTCGCTATAGCCATGCCATGAAGGAAGCTCTAACAGGATAATTCTTCTTCCCTGGAGAAGTGGGAGAGCTGGGTATCCATGGGTGGGGACTCCAGGGGGACCTGCAACCGCCGGACTCACCTTCCAGAGCAGCACGGCCAGCAGCAGGAAGATGAGGATTCCCACCAACAAGCTGATGGCGATGATCCACCCCACGACGTAGCCACGGGGCTCCAGACTGTGCAGGGCCTCGAAGACCACCTAGGAGACAGCGCAATAGTGAAAACGTTTCCTTTTTTGTTTGTTTGTTTTTGAGACAGAGTCTTGTTCTGTCGCCCAGGCTGAACTGCAATGGCGCAATCTCAGCTCACTGCAACCTATGCTTCCCGGGTTCAAGAGACTCTCCTGTCTCAGCCTCCCAGAGTGCTGGGATTACAGGCGTGAGTCACCACTCCCAGCTCTTTTTGCTTTTTTTTTTTGAGACAGAGTCTCACTTTGACACCAGGCTGGAGTGCAGTGGCACGATTCCCGCTCACTGCAACCTCGGCCTCCTGGTTCAAGTGATTCTTCCGCCTCAGCCTCCCAAGTAGCTGGGACTACAGGCACACACCACCACGCCCAGCTAATTTTTTTTACTTTTTAGTAAAGACAAGGTTTCACCATGTTGGTCAGGATGGTCTCGATCTCTTGACTTCGTGATCTGCCCCCCTTGGCCTCCTAAAGTGCTGGGATTACAGGCATGAGCCACCGTGCCTGGCCTCTTTTTACTTTTTAAAAATTACTTATTGAAGTTGAATATACATAAAGTATCCTAAGTGTACAGCTCGCTGAATTTTCACATACCAAATGCTAAATGCATGTGTGTAACTAGCAGCCTAGATCAAGAAACGGAAGGTGACCAGCTCTCTAGAAGCTCCCTTCCCCTTTCCTTCCATTCCCCACCCCCACCAAGGATGTCTAACAGCTTAGATTAGCATCACCTGCTTTTTTTGGTCCTCAATACAAATGGAATGACACTGTATGAACTACTGTACCTTTTTTTTTTTTTTTTTTTTTTTTTTTTTTCTTTTTTTTTTTTTTTTTTTTTTTTTTTTGACAGAGTCTTGCTCTGTTGCCCAGGTTGGAGTGCAGTGGCAAATATCTCAACTCACTGCAAACTCTGCCTCCTGGGTTCAAGCAATTCTCTTGTCTCAGCTTCCCAAGTAGCTGGGATTACAGGGGTGTCCCACCACACTCAGCTGATTTTTGTATTTTTAGTAGAGATAGGGTTTCAACATGTTGGCCAGGCTGGTCTTGAACTCCTGACCTCAGGTGATCCACCCGCTTCGGCCTCCCAAAGTGCTGGGATTACAGGTGTGTACCCGGTTTCTTTCTCTCACCGTTATGTTTGGGAAACTGTGCCAGGCTGTGGCATGTCCACTGTCACTGCTGTATAGTATTCCCCTGTGTGGACACACCACTACTTATTCATGCTATCAACTGGGCATGAATTGATATTGCTATTGATGGGCATGGAGGTTGTTTCCAGCTTCGGGCTATTAAAAAGAGCAATTTTCAGACAACAGGCAATCCTCAAGGAAAAACACTGATAGGTGGGAGGTGGTGGGACAAAAGTGGACTCTGACGTCTGTCATCCTAAATCCACTATTTTCTATCTAGTTCAGATGAGCAGTTCCCCTTTTTAAGGCAGTCAGATTCATGTCTTTGGGTTTTGCTGTGGACCAAATCGCCTCTTGCATTTGGAATCTCTCGTGGTGTCTTGTACAGATGAACTGTGAGGAGCCGTTAGGAAAGTTGGGGAGGGAGGAGTGCTGGTGTTAATCCTGGTCCTGGAGCAGCCGTAGGCAACCACGATACTACTTTCTCTTCTTCTGTGAAATGGGGGTATGATAGGGAAAATGTGGCAGTTCTGTGAAAGCACCTGGGTGTGAGAAAAGTCTGCTAAACCTTATTGCTGACTGCGAATCAGACTGAGACACTGAGCTCAGTGGGGTTAGCTGCAAAGCCCAGCCCCCTGTGCTAACCCAGATGGCTTGTTAGGGACACTGAAATCTGTATACCAGCAAAGCCATGTTGGAGGTCTGGTTTTGTGGACACAGAGGTTAAAGTAGCAGCTACAGTTTAGTCTGGCAAGTTCCACAAGAATGCCCTGTCACTTCCCCGGAATGTGGGCTTTATCTCGTCTTACTTTGAGGCAAGCTGCTCATCCCCTTGGATGCTTGCTCCGTGCTCTGGCAGAGCCTCAGCCTGCTCTCTCACATCGCAGCTCCCATAAACTCATCTGAGTGATGATCTGAGCATCCTGCAGCTCTAACAAGTCATATCTTAGATTAAAAAACAAAACCCCAAGGAAGGAACAGTAGCCTGGATGACATGGAGGGTCAAGAAGCACCAATGATCAGGTCCCGTCTCCACCACCAATGAGCCGGGTGATCCTGATTAAGCGCTACACCTTTCTAAACATCTTTTCTCTCCATCCTCTTCTCTCCATCCCAGGTACTTCCTGGCTCACATCTCGTCTTCTCTCACTAGCTCTATTGCAGGAGGCTTGGGGAGGCCTCCCTGCTGTTAGAGTTGTCTTCCCAAAGCACAGGTCTCACCATGTCACTTCTTGGTTTACAGGGTCCGTGGCTTTCCTTTAGGCTGAGCATCTAAATCAGGACACCAGGCCCTTCACATTCTCATCTCCTTCCTACCTTTCCAGCTGCTTCCAGGACACAGATTTACATTCTAGCCAGTTAGAGGTCCCTTGCCTGTGAGACCAGTGGTCCCCAGCCTCTCTGCAGGCCGCTCTTGCCTCCTGGAATGCCCTTCCATCCTTGTCCATCTGACAAACTCATTACTGTTCATCTAAAAACGTTCATACTTGATCAGCCTGGCCAACATGGTGAAACCCCATCTCTACTAAAAGTACAAAAATCAGCCAGGCGTGATGGCGCACGTCTGTAGTCCCAGCTACTTGGGAGGCTGAGACAGGAGAACCACTTGAACCCAGGAGGCAGAGGTTGCCGTGAACCAAGATGGTGACACTGCACTCCAGCTTGGGTGATAGAGCAAGACTGTCTCAAGAAAAAAAAAAAAAAAAAAAAAAAAAAAAAAAAAAAAGAAAAAAAAAAAAAAAAAAAAAAAAAAAGAAAGAAAAAAATAACAATGTTCATACCCTTTGATCCATTCATTCTGTACCTGAAAACTTACTCAAAGGAAAGAAATATAAAATACAGAAAAAGTTTGATGCTCAAAAATGTTCACTGCAGAATTATTTATTTTGGTGCTGAATTAGCAATATCCTAAGTGTCTAACCTACGGGCAGTAGATAAGTAAACTATGGTCAATCACAAAATAGGATATCATAGAATTATCAACAATGATGACAGTAAAGCTGGCTGTCAAAGCATAATTTTCAAAAAGTTAAAAACATAATTCTTATATAAATATACAGTGAATATATGGCAAAGATTAATTTATTATTGAGGAAGCCAGCAGGGTGGTAAAGCTAGTTTTAAAAAGACCAGAAAAAAATGTGTAGTCACAGGAAAAATAATTACTGAAATCAGATTGCTATATCAAATACAAACCTGGCTAATACCCTACAAGGTGATAAACTCTAACCCTACAAGGTGATAAATTCTAACCTTTGGGATTATATTTTCAGTCAAACAGAAATCATTTTTATCTTTACTGGCAATAGTCATTGATAACTTATCAGCCTTCCATAAGTTAATATGTAACTTCACAGAATTTGGGCCCTGGAGGGTTAGGCAGGCCTGCAGATCGGTGCTTCTCAAATTTTACTGTGTGTAAGAATCACATGAGGAACTCTGTTAAAAGGCAGATTCTGAATTAGAGTCTAGAGTGGGGCCTGAGAGCCTAGATTGCAAATAATCTGGTCCATGGACCACACTTTGAGTAGAAAGGGCGAGGGCAGGCTCCAGTCTGACACTGAAAGGAAATGTAATCATCCTTTTGCCTCATTTCCAAATTATAGATGCTTTTGAAAACATAGTAATAATGTGAGGAAAATGATAAGTTTATTATGCTAAGTTAAAAAATCAGAAGATGCTGGCTCACGCTTATAATCCCAGCACTTTGGGAGGCCAAGGTGGGAGGGTTGCTTGAGCCTAGGAGTCCAAGACCAGTCTGGGTAACACAGCAAGACCTTGTCTCTACAAAAACACAGAAATTAGCTGGGCATGGTGGCATGCACCTGTCATTCCAGCTACTTGGGAGGCTGAGGCTGGAGGATCATATGAACAGAGGATATCAAGGCTGCAGTGAGCCGTGACTGTGCCACTGCACTCCAGCCTGGGTGACAAAGCAAGATCCTGTCTAAATAAAATAGGCTGGGTGAGGTGGCTCATGCCTGTGATCCCACCACTTTGGGAGGATGAGGCAGGTGGATCACTTGAGGCCAGGAGTTCACGCCAGCCTGACCAACATGGCAAAACCCCATCTCATACAAAAATTAGCCCGGTGTGGTGGTGCATGCTTGTAATCCCAACATTTTGGGAGGCTGAGGCAGAGAATCACTTGAATCTAGGAGGTAAAGTCTGCAGCGAGCTGGGATCGCGCCACTGCACTCCAGCCTGAGCGACAGAGCAAGACTCTGTCTCAAAAAAATAAAAAAATAAAATAAATAATCAGAAGATTATCTAATATATAGAAGATTTCAGCTTTGCAGAAATATAGTAGGAACTCTTTAAATAGGTGTGTTTTAATATTAAGAATGTTATTTCTTTTCTACTTTTTATTATTTTTTTAACTGAGCATTTTAAAGGCAAGTAAAACCAATTTTTTTTTGAAGGAGAGACTCTGCTCCAATATCTCCTTTCCCAAGAAGCCTGCCTTACTCCCCTGTCTTCAGCAGAATTAATCACTCTCTGAGATCTTGGAAACATAGTAATTTTCAACGTACTGTGGCATCCCAATGTATAAATGCTACTCAGGTGGGCAGCTAGAATCCAGCCTACTCAGCCCCCATTTGTTTTTATTTTTTGGAGACAGGGTCTCACTCTGTTCTTAGACTGGAGTGAAGTGGCACAATCTTGGCTTACTATAGACTAAACCTTCTGGGCTCAAGTGATTCTCCCACCTCAGCCACCCAAGAAGCTGGGACTACAGGCACACACACCATACCCAACTAATAATAATAATAATTATTATTATTGTAGAGACATGATTTTGCCAGGTTGCCCAGGCTGGTCTCGAACTTCTGCGCTGAAGTTATCTGCCTGCCTCAGCCTCCCAGCATTTTGGGATTACAT